GTTTCGACTTCTCTCTAATCCGTGTAGCTTCAGCTTTAAATACTCTTATAACAGAGCACTGATGGAGAGAGGGGGTAAGTGCGCACCGTCGGCTTCCATTGATAGCAGTTGAATTTCAACTGAAGGAACTACCGACGTTAAATATAGGTACTTTACCTTTTTTTTTTATGTGTCGTTGAAAACCAGTTTAACCTAAAACTCCATGCTTCCTTAAATTCCTTTATCATTTAATTTTTAATTTTCTGACAACATTTGTCAAGTAGCTATGCGCCCAACGTTGGTTACAGAAAACGGGTCGTTTCCTGTAATTTTACCAATATTGGGATGTAAAGAACACTGACACGATATTTATTAAGAATTAATGATACCATGATGATACCAACTATAGAGTTGATTGTTATTAAATGAATGAGTAAATGGATGGTATATATGTTGACATAATAATAGAAGTTTCTTTTCTCGCACCTACCACGTGGGGCAAAATGGTACCTGAAATCGGCAATAATGTTTAACTAATTTTTCCATTTCAATTCCAAAGTCCATGAAACTTGGGCATAAGACACAAGTCAATTTTCTTTACAATAAAGCCATTGTTCTAGTGATAAACATCCTCACCTTTTGAAGTTGGTGAAAAAGGTGTTGTTGCGATGTGCTCTTTCGAGGTTGTTATCTGTTTCTTCTGCGATGAACACCATTTTTTATTGATTGTAGACGTAATATTAGGACAGTGTTGAGCTACAATGGGAAATATATAAGATTAATAAGTAACTAAACGTACTGGATTAATAATAAACCCAGAAGGATGGGGTTGATTGGACCATAATATTTGCAAAAAACAATAAAAGATTAATAAGTAACTAACTGGATGAATAATATCTAGGGAGGAAAGGAGAGATTGTCTATACCCAATGCACTACATCTGCTAAAGCGGCTAACAACTAAAAGGAATAAACAAACAGACAGACACGAAAACAATATAATTTTGCCACTGAAGCAGTTACCTTGTTTATATTCACATATGAACATGTATCGTATGTCGCATCTAATGTCATCGAATAATCCCCGTCCTTTATAGTGTTTTACCATTTTAACGCAACGGTCTGATCTACTTGGTTCGCCTGACATCCATTTATCAATGGTCTTGTTGACATGTCCACTATTCCACCTCCAGTAGTTAGTTGATATTCTCCTCAGACCAATATACCACTCGTTTTCTCCTACATCTAGACTTTGTATCGTCTTNTGCATATGGCTGATTAGACAAAAAAGGTGGCCAAGATTCATTTGTTGACATAAAAAGTGAAATGAAAACACATGGACGTAATATAGAGGATGTATTATTTGCTCACATCAAGTTGACAATAGAGAAAACGCGCATGCATCCGTTTTTAGCAGTATGTAAATCTCCGTTTTCCCCCCGAATATATAAACAAAATTTCATAGATAWRCATTTCTGATCAAGACTTTGTATTAACAACTACCACTTCAACTACCAGACGTTTTATTAACAACTACMATAAATTTCAATAAGCGTTTTTAARTCTATAAGTGAGGCAAGAATGAAAGTCAAATTAGCATATTTTTAATAATARRACGAAGGCGTTTTTGAACTAATTTTCAAAAAGAACGAGAGCATGCGCAGACYTTTTCCATCAARTTACTCACTTTAGCTGATGATATTCTTCGGGTATTCTTCTCTCCTTTGTAGGATTGTTTCTTGTTGTTGAGCCACCTCAGAAGAATTMTACTTCTTCTTTTCATGTATAGGAGCATGTTTCATTTATAGGAGCAGGCGTAGCTCAGTTGGTTAGTGCGCGACCWTCAGAGCTTGAGGTCCACGGTTCGATCCTTAGGATCTCCACGTCTGTTTCGACTTCTCTCTAATYCGTGTAGCTTCAGCTTTAAATACTCTTATAACAGAGCACTGATGGAGAGAGGGGGTAAGTGCGCACCGTCGGCTTCCATTGATAGCAGTTGAATTTCAACTGAAGGAACTACCGACGTTAAATATAGGTACTTTACCTTCTTTTTTTTTTATGTGTCGTTGAAAACCAGTTTAACCTAAAACTCCATGCTTCCTTAAATTCCTTTATCATTTAATTCTTAATTTTCTGACAACATTTGTCAAGTAGCTATACGCCCAACGTTGGTTACAGAAAACGGGTCGTTTCCTGTAATTTTACCAATATTGAGATGTAACGAACACTGACCCGATATTTATTAAGAATTTATGATGCCATGATGATACCAACTATAGAGTTGATTGTTATTAAATGAATGAGTAAATGGATGGTATATATGTTGACATAATAATAGTTTCTTTTCTCGCACCTACCACGTGGGGCAAAATGGTACCTGAAATCGGCAATGTTTAACTAATTTTTCCATTTCAATTCCAAAGTCCATGAAACTCGGGCATAAGACACAAGTCAATTTTCTTTACAATAAAGCTATTGTTCTAGTGATAAACATCGATCCTCACCTTTTGAAGTTGGTGAAAAAGGAGTTGTTGCGATGTGCTCTTTCGAGGTTGTTCTCTGTTTTTTCTGCGACGAACACCATTTTTTATTGATTGTAGACGTAATATTAGGAAAGCGTTGAGCTACAATGGGAAATATATAAGATTAATAAGTGACTAAACGTACTGGATGAATAATAAACCCAGAAGGATGGGGTTGATTGGACCATAATATTTGCAAAACATAATAAAAGATTAATAAGTAACTAACTGGATGAATAATATCTAGGGAGGAAAGGAGAGATTGTCTATACCCAATGCACTTCATCTGCTAAAGCGGCTAACAACTAAAAGGAATAAACAAACAGACAGACACAAAAACAATATCATTTTGCCACTGAAGCAGTTACCTTGTTTATATTCACATATGAACATGTATTGTATGTCGCATCTAATGTCATCGAATAATCCCCGTCCTTTATAGTGTTTTATCATTTTAACGCAACGGTCTGATCTACTTGGTTCGCCTGACATCCATTTATCAATGGTCTTGTTGACATGTCCACTATTCCACCTCCAGTAGTTAGTTGATATTCTCCTCAGACCAATATACCACTCGTTTTCTCCTACATCTAGACTTTGTATCGTCTTGTTGATAAACTGGTATTCCTCTTCTGTTTCCATGGATACCAAGGTTCCGCCATTCTCTTGACAAATTTTATTGCTATCTTCCCAACTCTTTGTAATATGGTGGAATGAATAGCAGGAGCAGTCACTGGTTTCTATAAAATTGACATAACGATACTTAATCATCGCCTCTTTTATTTCAATGCTAGTTTTCTCTGATTGCTTAGCTTGTTATCGCATGGTTTTTTTAAACCTACACTGTACACATATAGAAGTTATTTATGAGCCAGGAGTTCAGAAACAGCCTTGGTCCGACCTTGAGGAACAGTTTTTTGTTGTATCCGGACAATCTTTAGTTCATTACAATTTCAAAGTTATTGAAACACGGCCATAAGACCCAAGTCGATGTCCTTCACAATATTTTCTATATAATATATATACTTAGTTCTTTCTGTTGTTTCATTGTATTTCTAGTTATAGTCTCGGATATAGAACTTGCATTTATTTTCAATATTTTAGTAGCCACCAAAAAGCCATTGTTTTATTGATAAGCATTGATCCTTACCTTTTGCAGTTGGTGAAAAAGATGGCGTCATTGTGTTCTCTTTCGTGGTTACCTGTTTTCTCTTTGAAAAACACCTTTTTTCAATGATTGTAGACGTAATATTAGAACACTTTTGAGCTACAATGTGAAATATATAAGATTAATAAGGAAGTACCTTTCTGGATGAAGTATAATATTACCTAGAAAAGCAGGCGGCGATTAGAGCATTATAATCTATGTATAATAGCTTACAATATGATCGATCTAGGTATAACGTAATATGATTAAAAAAATGAACATTTTAGTTTATATTTAAGATTTATGCATTTGCAAACCTGCAAGCAAATGCATGGCTTTAGCAAATAACTAAAAGGAATGATCAAACACACAGACACAAAAAAATATCAGTTGGTAACTATAGGAGTTACCTTGTTTGTATTCACATATAAACATTCTGAGTGTTCTACAGTTAATGTCATCGAATAATTCCCGTCCATTATAGTGTTTTATCATTGTAACACAATCTACATTTCCACTTGGTTCGCCTTTCACCCATTTATCAATAATGGCCATGCTATGTCCATTAATCCACTCCCAGTAGTTTCTTGATATACTTGATATTCTCTTCAAACCAATATACCACTCGTTATTTCCTACATCTAGACTTTGTATCGTCTTGTTGATAAACTGNTAATATTAGAACATTTTTGAGCTGCAATGTGAAATATATAAAATTAATAAGTAAGTACCTTTCTGAATGAAGTATAATATTACCTAGAAGAGCGGGCGGCGATTAGACCGCCATTATAATCTATGTATAATAGCTTATAATATGATCGATCTAGGTATAACGGAATATATTAAGAACAAAATTTTAGTTTATATTTAGGATTTATGCATTTGCAAACCTGCAAGCAAATGCATGGCTTTAGCAAATAACTAAAAGAAATGATCAAACACACAGACACGAAAATATATGTTGGTCAGTAAAGGAGTTACCTCGTTTGTATTCACATATGAACATGTATTTGTATAGTGGGTTGCATGTAACGTCATCGAATAATCCCCGTCCTTTATAGTGTTTTATCATTTTAACACAATCTCCTGATCCACTTGGTCGAGTTGGCCTCCATTTATCAATGGTCATGTCATGTCCACTTATCCACTTCCAGTAGTCAGTTCTTGATATTCTCCTCAAACCAATATACCACTCGTTATTTCCTACATCTAGACTTTGTATCGTCTGGTTGATAAACTGGTATTCCTCTTCTGTTTCCATGGATACCAATCTTCCGTTATTCTGTTGGCAAATCTTATTGCTATCTTCCCAATTCTTTCGAATTTTGTGGAATGAATAGCAGGAGCAGTCACTGGTTTCTATAAAGTGTCATAACAATAGTTATTCATCGTCTTTTTTATTTCAATGCTAGTTTCCTAATCTGGTTTWAGTTTTGACATGGTTTTCAACACTATACGGTATACAGGAGGCAGAGGAAGGAGGATGGGGGGGAGGGCACTTATCTTTCACTGTTACATTATTTACCGCTGTACATGATATGAGCAAGCTTGAGCCCGTCAGATACCGTGTGCTGCAATGCGCGCGCTGTGCCTTAGAMCTAACGGTTGGTTGACGGCCACGCGAGAGGAAAAAATGATAATACGCCAAGCAACTGGAACCGTTATCTCTAAGCAACAGCGCGCTCATTATAGTTATCTAAGGGCCTCACTCCAAATATTCAAGACCTCGAACACAGTTTATTCCTATCCGCACCGACCGGTCCGTGCGCAGAGATACAGAATATCGCCCGCTCACCCAGCAATCAGAACGCACTATCTCTAGGATAAAGGACAGGAAACAAAATTTCGTTTTTTTAACTTAGAGGGATCAAGGTTGTTGCAGCGGTAGKGGACTTACTGAGTCCGTTTGATTTTCTCCGAGCTTCCTCCGCGCCCTGACTTTGAAAAGCCAAAAGGTTGTTTCAGGGTTCGATCTGCCAGTTAGCCGTACCCCAATTTGATCAGCCCATAATTTGTTCCACGAAATTGGGTCAAAGCACCGAGATGTCAAATCACGACTATCATAGACATGTCCAAAAACTTTGGTTAAATAAGCAGTAAATAGGCCGTAAAGACCCCTTGCATGTAACATCAAAGCAGCTCAATTTAGAGAAGAAGAAAAAAAAAAAAGAATTTCAATCTTAAGAGAAATGGAAACCTATTGTTATATCCTTCAAATTGAGCTGCATTTTCACGTTCTGCAAGGGGTCTATTTTAGGTGCCTTTGATGGGTAATACATTTTTCCCTTTTTAAAATGGGGGACTATTATAAGCTATTATAATGGGGGACTATTAGAAGTCTCCGATTTTACACACCGATAGCAAGGATGCTCTCCCACTGCCATACGATAAGTAACAATGTGATAGCTACGATACCGCGTGGTGCACGATGTCCCATTTTTTTCCTGATCTGGATGATTTTACTGATAGATGTTCCTGAAAACGCAATCAGCAATTGTCATTCCAAACCAAACTCACCAGACTATTATACGGCAATATATCTGATAAATACTACCTCAGTTTGAATCCATTGATTCACTTAGTATTGGTGCCGTTCTCAACAGTGGACATCATTGAAGTTGTTAAAAAAGTTTCTAATTGCCTTGTTTTCAATAGGGGCATGTTCATCGGCGATGTCAGAATTCATGTCAAGACACAATTGTCAGGCAAAAGGCATTCGGAGGTGTATAGTAAGAAATTCAATGTCCAGTTAGGTACTGNGCAGCAGCAGTCACCGGTTTCTATAAAACATCATGACGAAAATCATTTAGTGTCTCTTTTATTTAAATGCTAGTTTTCTTAATCTGGTTCACTAGCTGTGCTGTGCTGTGCTGTGCTGTGCTGTGCTGTGCTGTGCTGTGCTGTGCTGTGCTGTGCTGTGCTGTGCTGTGCTGTGCTGTGCCATGCCATGCTATATTGACGTTATTTACCGGCTAGGTGGTCTGTCCATATTCAAGACCTCGGGCACAACTTTATCTCTTTTATCCCGTTTTTAGGATTGTAAATTACTTATTTTTTCCCCCACTTCATTATTTATAATACACCCAACAAAATATCGTGCGATCGTGCGTTTTGCTATACTAATTGTTTAAAAAATTGTTTTGTCGTTTAACAATCCGTTATTTCATGCTCGAGGAGATGAGGTGACTAAATCCTTACGTTAGGATACGGGACCGAGCTCAAGGAAACAGCTAATCAGAACGCACGATTTCTAGGATACCAGACCGAGAAAAAAAAATGTTGGAGGGATCAAGGTTGGCGCAGCAGTGGTGCACTGACTGAGTCTGATAGATTTTTCTCATGGGCTTCCTCCCTTGCCCTGACTTTGAAAAGCCAGAAGGTTGTTTGAAGGTTCAATCTGTGAATTGGCCGTATCCCAATTTTAGTCAGCCCAGCGGTTGTTTCAGGGAATCAATTCACAGTACCGTGATGTCAATTCATGATTACCATAGTCATGTCAAAACACTTTAGCTGGATACTGGGGATGTTGGCAATGCCACGTTATTAGATAATTTCCAAAGGAGGGCATCTGAAATAATCACTCAATCTAAGGACAGTGATAAAGCTTTATGTAATCTTAAATGGCCTGTTCTGCAGACTACGAGGAATACGTTTTTAAATTAGTTCAGAAATGTATTTTAGGTAATTGCCCTCAATTTTTTAAAGAATATATTCATTTTAATAGGGGTAGGGTTACCAGACAGTCTATTACATTTGCCACGTGTTAGAACCGAAACTGCCATAAAGTCTTTTTATTATAATGGATGCATTTTATATAATAAACTTATTTCCTCGAAATTATACACTTATATATGATATTTTGTAAATAGTATTTTAAATATAGTCATGTAGATTTTTAACGTACTATGGGCCACTTTGCAGTTTGGGAATCGTCTTCGGTGCGCATGCGGGTTTGTCCCGAATTTCTCACCTTCCTTCGTTACTAGGGAGTGTGGGGGGGATTCGGGATGGGGTCACGTGCGCGCTGGAGGCGGTTCTCAAGCCGTAAGTGGCTTATATATATTCACACATATTTATAGTATTTGGCTTTATTTATTTTAAAATAACGGTTTCATTCATTCATTCATTCAGTTGGATAAGCAGTAAATAGTTCAGTAGTGGTCGTACGTAAAGACCCCTTGCATGTGTACTTACCAATAGCAAGGATGCTCTCCCATTGCCATACAGAAAGTAACAGTGTGATAGCTACGATACCGCGTGGTGCAAGATGTCCCATTTTTTTTCTGATTTGGATGATTGTACTGTTAGATGTTCCTGAAAACGCAATCAGCAATTGTCGTTCCAAACTAAACACACCAGACTATTATACGGCAATAATCCATTGATTCACTTAGTAGTGGGGCCGTTCTCAACAATGGACATCATTGAAGTTGTAAAATGTGTATAATTGCCTTGTTTTCAATAAGAGCATCTTCATCGGCGATGTCAGAATTCATGCATGTCAAGATACAATTGTAATAGGCAAAAGACAAGCGGAGGTGTATAGTAAGAAATTCAATGTCCAGTTAGGTACTAGATATATTTGGATAGCGTGACGCCAAAAAAATCTGGCCCCTTCTTACTATAGATCGTTTTCACGTGTCGTCATCAATTTCCGGTCGCCATATTGGTGTACCTCGATAGCGTGACTATGCAAAAACATGTGTGTAACAATCATGCCATGACTAGCGAAGTGCTCTGAATAATATGGAATATGTTGCCGGCGAAAAGGAAAAAAAAGAGTTTAGCNAAATGAAAAGTCTTACAGATTTTATTTTGGACTCTAAGCTGTTTAAACTGAACGCAAAGAGAGTCAAAGATAAATTGTGAAAAAAAACCCAAACAAACAAACAAATAAGCAAGCAAGCAAGCAAACAAACAAAAGTTTTAAGCAACTTATACAATGGCACAAGAGTAACAGCATCTTTGATATTACAGAATATATGTTGCCGTTATTAATTGAATAAGTTAACTGACAGCGCCCATTCGGAATGCGGTATCTCCTATATAACCACGACTATAAATAATAGACAACTATTAATCACCTTTTGTTTATCTTGTTAGTATCCAAACTGCCCACTCTAGGTTTATAACAATGCACAAATATCCAAAAAGCGCTGATAATGACAACTGGTATATTCTTAATTAAGGTCAATATTTCAAGTCAGAAAAAGATTTAAAAAGCATGTGCTTTTCTGATTGGTTCCCAAGCGAAACAAGTGAGAAAGATTCAGCAAAGGAAAAGTAGAGACTGAAGCATGAGTCAGAGTCCATAGTGTATGAGAGTATAATTTTACTTATTCAAATACCCGACCCTTTGAGTTTAATAACGTTTTGTCATGCAACAAGCCCTCACATACTGAGGTTGACATTCAATTACGTATTGTAAAATCTGTACAAGTGGTTTAGGTAAATGAAGCTTTTAATAAAGAGGAAGTCTTATTTATGGAAGAAGCAGCATTCTGTCACTTTTCCTGCTATCACCAACTTGACCGCGTACCTTTCGCTTTCCATGTTCAACCCCAGCCCTTGCACATTACATTTTAAGTCGATCATATGACAAAAAAAACAGTTTTATTTCCTTTTTTTCAGTAAGTCTACTTTTGAAATATCCACGAGGCTAAATATTTTTCTATAAATTACTATATATTACCTTTATACTTTAGCTACTCTGGAAGTTCGAAAATAATAAGTTCAAGGTAAAGATTGTGTATGATTGTAATGGGTTGTTTCTCGGTGCTATTGATACGGTGCTTCAGCTGATTATTATCGAAAAAAAAATAACACAAGAAATTCAATTATATATGGAAAAATAKAATATATTTTGTTTTATAAATACGTACATTAGATATAGGGAATATAAAACAACAAGCTCAAGCTGAATAGATACTGAATAATATTGTGAGGTTTCCGTCGCTTATTATTGAGCTGCCCGCCATACTGAGCATGCGCAAGCATTTTTAATGTCAAGTTGACAATAGAAAAATAAAGTTTGCGCATTCGTCCGATTTAACATTTTTTCCAAGAATTCAAGAGCGTTTTAGTGAGAAAATCAATGCTCTTTTCTCYTAACATACAAAAAATTCGTAAGTATACTTTTTTAACCCAAGATACTGTATTTATTGAATTGATCATCATCATCATCTGCTGCATTGATAACATTTAGATGGATGGATGAGTGAATGAATGGGTGGATGGATAAATGGATGAGTAAAAAGTAAATAATTTTAATAAATGAAAAGATAAACGGATGGATGGATGGATGAGTGAATGAATAATGAGAATGATAAGTTTTAGAGTTTTAGGCTCAATATTGTAATTACCTGTAGCAAAGTACTCTCCCACTGTCATACTTAAAGTAAAAATAAAATGGCTACGACACTGGGAGATGCACAATTTCCCATTTTTTCGGCTTTCTTGCAATGGTTGAAGATCTAATTACAAAAGATGCTTCTGTGCGTCTATACTTTGAACTGTTATTGCCATAGTCAAGAAAATGGGTTCAGTCGGCTATAGGTACGACGGCTGATAGGGAATTACCAACTTTACATAAATATAAGACAGCTACTTACACTCACCTTTTGTTAAAATCCTTTATAGTCTTCAAACTGCCTTGCACTTCCCTCTTTACCGAGTTCAAATACGAATATTCAGGAAACGCTGAATGGCGTTTCATACCTCGAAACAAAACCAAATCAATATAAAAATCTTTTCAGGTCGTCAGTAATAAAAGACCTATATATATACAGTCAATTCAAAAAACGTTGTCGTCGACTGGCTCAAGCCTACGCGACTGGACCGAAAGAAATATGGGTAAAAATCACTGAAGCGGTTTAAATATTCGTTCTGAATAAATTGTTCCCGCTGGTAATAAGATAATAATGGCAAGAAAAAATCTATCAAATGCATGTCTTTGGGTTTAGGGAAAGAAAAACAAGGTAGTTATGATTCAGTTCACAATTTCGAAAATATGAAGGCATTTAAAAAACGTCTCCTTCAACACTTCCCGCTCGCCTACGAAVGTTCGTGYTGTAAACCAGGCATAACTAGTCAGATAAAATTATGCAGTMAACTCGGCTTCAATGATTACTACCCATAGTTCCTTTCGGTCTAGTCGCGTAGGCTTGAGCTGCTCGACGACAACATTTTTTGAATTGACTATATACTTTTTTTTCTCGAGCGAAAGGAGAAAAATTCTGACAAGGGAACAGTGCAATCAAAATGGGTRAAATTGTCTCCGAATTCATTTATTATATTATTCAAAGTGGTTACGATTGGCATTCAAGTATATATGATCTGTGGTTTAGGTAAATGAGGCTGGTACTAAGAGGAAATCATGTTTGTTACAGAAGCAGCAATCTGTGACTCATCCTGCTATCACCAACTTGACCRCGTATCTTTCGCTTTTCACGAATCCCATACCA